ATATATAAATTACCTTTTAATTTAACTTGTAATTTTTTATGAGGATTTATTCCATATTAAAAACTTGTATGGCTTTCTCGTAGGTTACTCATCACTCATCAATGAGTAATTTTTTAAAAATTTATCCATAAAAAAAATAGTTTTTCTAGAAATGATTTAATAAAATTCCCATATAAAAATATATTTTTAACATTTATTTATTATTCAATGACTTAAATATATAAACAGTTCTAGTTTTAGAAATGATTTTATGTAAGCAAAAATTTAATATTTTAACTTTCAATTTTAGTTTTAAATTTGATTCGTATTAATTAATTTTGAGTTTATATTATATATTTATGCACTGATTACAATTAAAACACTATTAATTAATTTAATTTTAATACTTTCAGACCATACTGCGTGGAAGACATACCGTCAAAAATGATGGTTAGCAACGATCAATTAACTCCAGATGTAAGCGTAAATTACTCATTTTATAAAATCAATAAGTATGACAAACTTAAATTATATATGTGTAAGGGTATGTTACGAAGGTCTATACGTATACTTAAGTAGGTATATTTATAGTATAATCATTTTAAAAACGATAGAAATCGCGTTAATCTATTATGTATCGTATTTATTGCAGAAAAAACTCGTTTCATAAATAAATTGGTGGCATTTAGAGATGACGCAAAATTTAAAACAATAGAAATGACTTATTCGATGTCCAAACTTTCGACCTTCAACAGAAACAATACAAAATTTACGATATTCTTAAAATTTTCAAAGAAAACTTTGGGCAATTCGCGTATAAAAACGCACCATTATAATTCTCCTTGGCCTGTTGAATTATTGCCCATAATTATTGAATTTGTTTATTTATTTTTTTGTAACGTAATAACTTCTAAAGAAATTAGAAATTTTCTCTGTTTATATTATTAGATACATAAAAAAGTATGGAAATCTTCACACATTATTTATATACGCAAATTAATATCTAAACGTAAATACCGTTAAAAATAGATTTATATAAATACATATATAAATAAAATGCATTAATTAAAGTTAATCTGTTTATGTAGTCGGGTTATATGGATGACCAGATGACATTTTATGATGTACAAGAACCAAACCCTCCTCTATATTATGATATGTCTTCTCTTCCTCCATACTGCAGTCCAACAGACACAGTATCTACCACGATGGCTGCTGCTCAGAATCAACCATATCACAAAATGCTCACAATTGAAGGTTAGTTTAATTATTTTAGTGAAAAAGAAACAAATTTTCATATTAAATTCTTTATATTTATTTACAGATTTCGTAGAAGCGGTTCCATTAAATCGACGTTGGGAAACTCTCTCACCAGATCAATGGCAATGCTCCGAAATAGCTGATTGGCTGTTAGATTGGGCAGAGAAACATGGTGTGGAACCAGAAGAAATTAACACATTGGGGTTTAGTAGCATAAGCGGTCAAGATCTTTGTCGTTTGTCAGAAAGAGACTTTATAGACAGAGATTGTCAATATGGAAGCATGCTGTACAAATCGTTTCAAGAACGTCTTAGTTACTTTGGTATGTCACTAATTTAGTACGTTAATTATATCATATTTATTTTGTTTTATACAGTAAGCGCCTATATACTGTAAATATATATCAGTAATTTTCAAAGTGGGCCCTCTTAAGAATGGTAGAACACTCAAGGGGGCACTGGAAGGAAGGGAGTGGTAGGGGTATTGGAAGATAAGAGAAATAAAAATTCATTTTAAACAGAAAAAAATATAAGATAAATCAGTTATAGCTTTATAGGGCCTGGGCAAATTTGAATTAGGAGGCCCAATGTACAGGCTTTACTAGATTAAGGGCGAAGAAGAAGAAGAAGGCCCAACAGTGTTGACTTCAGGCATTTTTCTTTGGGAAGATATTTTCTTATAAAAGATTGATTGGGGCCTCCTATTGGTGGGGTCCCAGACAATTGCCCTTTTTGCCCATAGGATAATGCGCCACTGAGAAACATATGCACTAACAGGGGGGAAGTAATCCGAAAAGTTTGGCAAACACTGGTATAGACAATAAGTAATTCATATTATCATCCATGCAAACTTACTAACAATTAGAAAAAAAAACAGGTTATAATAAAATATTAAATTATATAGATTTAATAATTTTAATTATTAATTATTTCTCCCGAACCGGTGTAAATATTATTACTATTTAAAGATAAAAAGAAGAGGAGAGGGAAAAAAATTGATTTAAAGCAGCAATGGCCATCTGGTTATCTATGAAGTAGGCTAATATACTTTTTGTCTCCTTGAGTGCACTTAAAATAAGAAAGTGGTCTTCGAACGTTGTATAAGGGCATTGCGTTTGTTAGTTTATATCAGCAGTCTAGTGTGCGTGCTTTTTCTTAAAAATAAACTTATTTGTCTCGTTAGACGGCATGGTTCAATCGTTTCGGAGTTTGAGACTTTATATTTTTATTTTAATATAATCAAACGATTTATTCCAAAATTTTATGTGCTTTTTATAAGAATCACAATTAGTCTATTAAAGTATTAATATTGTTGAATTGCTCGCAAACTACTATAGCCCCACCCAGTATAATGGCATATTTATTATGTATATTTTTTATCTTAATGTATTTATTTTTTAAAATGAATTATTTTAAGTAATAAATTCAATATTTTATTATTTTTTTATTGAAAAACTAACTGATTTTCAATACGTTACTTATCTCTTGTTAATTAACTCACTTAGAAGGTAAATTATTTTCTACAGATATTTATATTAGTTTAATTGTGTATTTTATGATCTTTTTCCTTTACAAACTGACAGTCCGATATTAAAAATAAAAACAAAAATGATACTTTTAACGCTTATTCGATTAACCTTGTTATTTCAACCATGTCATGGAGAGAATTTAACAATCATTAAGCTTACAGTTAACACATTAATGTTTCTTTTTTTTCTTTTTTTTTAGTCTGAATGTATAAATATTTAAATATTGGCTTTAAAAATGGAGAAAATATTTAAATTTTTTATAAAATAGCGGCGTTTATAATTATTTTTAAGCTAAAAAATTGCGGAAATATTTATTTAATATTCATGTCTGATCATTAATTATTTAAAAATCTAATTAACTAGAAATACGCTTAAGCTATATTTATATAATATATATTTAATTTTATAATTTGTACAATTTATTATAAATTAATTAATAATAATTAATATATTTTTCTATGGATGCATAAGAAGAAATTATTCTCAATTTAAAGATGCTTAAATTAAAATTAATCTAAGAGTCCTTTTACCCCTCAGAGGCATCCTCTTCCTGGGAAAAATCTTCAAATGCCCTGGGAAAGGGTTTCAGGCTAACAACAGATTAAAATATCGAAAAAAATTACTTTAAACTTTATATATAAATTTATTATGTTATTTTAATATGTCATGTAAATAGATTTCTAAAGACAATTAAAACTTTATTCCTATCTCCAATTATCACTTTAAACATAGAAATTACCTTGTTAGATATATTAAATATCTCATTAAACATCCAATAGGTATAATTCCCAGACCAACCAGACACGATCAACAAGCCCAATTTAGTTGGCCAGATGAAAGATGGCCAATCCCGGGAGATTTTATCGATTTAGATGATCAAGAGAAAAGCTCACCTATTTCTTCAGGTAACTAATTAAATATCGATATAATTTTTAATTAATTTATTATTTTTTACATAATAGAATCACCTGTTTATTAAGGATACAGATAAATTGTTTGGTGCCGTGTTCAATTNTGATGATAGAATAAGCTTAAAAGCAATATATTATAGATAAATGTAGGTTGATACGTGATTAAATAAGTTCAAACATGCTTCAATGATTATTGAAACAGGATGAATCGTAAAAAAATAAATCGTACTTTGTTCATTTAGTGTTTTTTTAACACATAAAAGTGCTTTAAAAACTTAGAAGAAACGTTTGATATTCTGAGAAATAATACTTTTTTCACTCTTTCTTTTTTAAGTAGATTCAGATAGAGACAGCACCACAAGTACAACAAGTACGATGACACCTGTTAACACAAAAACAAGACTCACAGATGCTTATTTTCCTGATAATATGTACAATCAAAAAACAGGTAAGTTCATTTGGAAAGTATTTATTGTATACTCATCTTAAGAAATCGAATTAAGTACGTATTCTAATAATTCACGGGTGAAAGAATTAAACATGTAAATTTTTAATTACAACTAACTTAGTGTGCTTTAAACGTGTTATTTAATTAGGTAAAATTACTCTAAATAATCAATTAAATTGGGCTTTATTTTAATCAGGAATATTGCTTTTTTAAATAAGAAATTATCCTGTTAATAAAATAACTATTAATTACAATTATATAGATAATTAATAATGATATTAATTTAGAATTTTGAAATATCTTAGTTCCATACGACATAGCTGCAGATATGAAGAAGAATAGAAGAGGAAGACCGCCTAAAAGAGAAGGTAGATCACGGAATAGACAAGGTAATTTTTCCGCAAATTCATCCAAAATTATATATTTTTTAAAAAATTTCATCGATACTTCGATAAAATTTTTTTTTTTTATGAATATTTAAGCCAGATATGACTCTAGAATCCTGGTATCTTTTATGATTATGCTCAAGCATCATGTAGTTCATCTAGTTAATTTATTAAATAAAAATAAAGTATAAAAATTGTTATATATATTTGGCTACAGATTTTTATTATATCATTAAAATAACTTCAGTTTCTACTCGAGCGAATGATGGTAGATTTTATGTATTCTAATTTTTTATGCATGCTTAATGACGTGGAAAAATTTTAATGATAGAGTAGAAATAATATCATTAATTTTTGATAGTCTTATTTGCTTTGAAGCAGAAAAAAAGGTGAATTTTAGTTATTTTAAACAACAACAAATAAAAATAAATAAATAAAATAAAATTAAATATAATTAAAATATAATTATTCCCGATTATAATAATGAGTACTACAATACTTCCCAACCTTGTTTAGTGAATAAGTAAACAATATTGATTGTGATATTAACCAGTCGACCGCAAACTACTTGTTGGAATGTTTACCTTCTAACTTTCTAAATTATAAAATATATAGATTTATTCCATACAAAAACTATATTTTATACTGGAATCCTTTTCATTACAGAAGGAAACTTGTTATTTATTGTAAATAGTGCCAACTTAATTACTAAATTAAATTTTAATGAATTATTTATTAATATCGTGAAATAATCTGTTTAATTTATAAAGATCCTGTTAAACTTCATTAATATCACTTGAAAATAATTCTTCTTTATATAATTGATAAAGCAAATGAAGTATTGACCTAAAAATACCAATTTTTTGGATCTAAATAATTGAATAATCCAATTTTATTTAACATATTTTATACTTTAAAAAGTAATTTTAATTTTATTATATTCATTTTAAATTATTTAATATAATTTTTTTTAAATTTTAGATAATAAAGAGCTTATTTTATAGTTAAGAATTTTTTTATTTGTATTTATTTATTTATTTATATATGAAAATTAAATTTTAATTTCGCTACATTACTAAAATATTGAATAATTTTTCAAAATAACTTTCAAATGGAAATTTAAAGGATTAATTTGAAAATCAAATAGATTAATTTAAGAAATAAATACTTTCCACTATTTTTCTAGTCAATTTTCCTTTTATTTTTAACTTATTCTTCAGTTTTTGTAGTAAGCTTACTACTAAGAGGAGCAATAACCTTTCCACCCTGTTTAGACAGCCATATAAGAAATTAAAAGAAATTTTTTTACAAGTTTTCTTTCTTAAATTTAGCTTACACTTATCTTTATTTATCAGAACATATTTTAATATTATTCTTTTTTAAATTTAATTTTATTTAATCTGTATTAAAATCAGAGATAGACAACTGTTAATGAATTGCTTAAGCTTATATGCTATAATTGCTACTATCTGTATACAGTAAATTCTGTAGTATATGTTCCTAGAATATAGTAAAGTGTGAATAGTACACTTTACTGTACAGCAGAATACATGTATAGGATATAGAATATATATAATACAGTAAAACCTGTCTAAAACAGAACGTTTCCGGTTTACACAGGTTTTTACTATATACACTACATATTCTATCCTGCTTTATTACAGTATACACTAAGATCTAGTAGTAGTATATACTTTATTATATAAGATAAAATGAAGAAAAAAAATGTAAAATTTGGTTATTTTTTTACCTGTTTTTTAGGTAAAGCTACTGGAAAATTGTGGGAATTTATTCGTGATCTCCTATTAAGCCCCGAAACAAATCCAAGTTTAATAAGGTGGGAGAGGAGGGAAGAAGGTATCTTCAAATTCGTTCAATCAGATAAAGTAGCAAAGATGTGGGGAGATCGAAAACAAAATACAAAAATGACTTATGAAAAATTAAGTAGGGCTATGAGGTTAGTATCTTTAATAGAAGGCTTCTAAATTTTATTTTAATTTTATGCAAAATTCCTCTCTAATCTACAATTAAAAACTGTTTAAAAATATATTTAAATTTAAGCAGTTTTTTTTCTTTTTTTAAGAAACAATTAAACATCTCACCTATTTCTGCTGGTTTTTCTCATAAGGGTAAACTATAATATTTCATTTTTAATTAAAAACTAACATTTCTTTACTTTAATAGGACATATTATCGCACTGGATATTTAGTACCTGTTCCAAGGGATCAATCATTACCTAAGAAACTGATATACAAGTTTGGACCAAAGGCTAACTTAGAAGTTTCCTTGGTTATGCATGGAACTTCTTGTCGTTCTGATTAAAGTGCATGTGTTACTTCAAACATCTTGGTGGTGGTTTCGTGATAACGTAAGATGGTGGTGGTTTAATTTATCCTAACTCCTAACACGTGGAAACTTTTTGACTGTGAAAATAATTTTTTCATCTAGTCTTCTTTTTTTAAACATACAATGCATGTCCATAAAGGTATTAAATTGGTTATGGCCATCATACAAATCTTTCATGGTGCTATTTTATGACATCATACAACGTTACATTGTTAACTTTTGATACATTCTACCTTAAATCTTTATATATTTAAGGGAAAAAAAACTTACAAAATATCAAAATGATACGCACAATTCTTGTATTCAAAATAGGTTAATAACATTCTCTATTGTTTAAATTCAATGTATGTTCCTAAAAAAGTTTTGTTATTATTGTTGATAGACGTGATATTTGTAAACAATTTTATCTATATTAAAATTAATAATTTACTTAAATAATATATTTTTACACTCAAAAATGGCATTAAAATATCACGTCTAAGTATATAATTGGAAAAATTGTTGATGTGTAAGCTATAATTAACGTTAGTAGACATAATTGTTACTTTTTTAAAGCATTGATTATATATTCCGCTGTATGTTATTGATGTACAATGTCTAAATTCCAAGCCTTATCTTGTTTAGATATTATTACAAGAGTCAAGTATTACTTCCTGTCTTTGGACGTCGACTAGTATATAAATTTGGGCCTAATGCAACTGGATGGAGGTGTAACTAACAGTTTTTGACTGAAAGTTTCATCAGCACTGAATGTGACATCATAGTTTCCTCTGTTCCATTCGAAACAAAATAAATAAATAAAATAAAATAAATAAAAAACAAAAATAACACCAGAATTTTTCTGGTATATACTTCCAGAATCGTGTGTAGGATAAGTTCATCTTGTACAATTTACGTACATAAAGGTCTCTTATGTTGTACAGAAAGAGCTAATACATAAAATATCAGAGTCTATATATATAAATAAATAAATATATATATATATATAAGAGAAAAGTAAATAAATAAATAAATATATATTAT